CCCCAAAAAAAAAAAAAAAAAAAAAAAAAACACGTGATTAAAGATACAGTTCAACATTTTTTTATAAAAAAAAATCTGATAAAATCTTTTTCTAAAACCACTACTTTTAATTTTCGTAAAAAAATAGAACACATTAATAAAGTTTTTTCACTAAATCTTTAATCTATGATCTATAACATTGCTAAAAGGAATATTTTGATTTGATGTCCATTCTTTTTGGATCTCTTTATCTTTAAATATTTTTTACAAGTTATTTCCGAATTATTTGCATTCTTTGTCCAAATTCATAACTAGTTTTCCAAGTAGCACTTCTCTTTTGAGTAACTACATAAAAGTTTATTGGTTTTTTACTTTTTTTATTAATCGCACACTACTATTTCTAGACATCATTATTAATCATTTTTTCTACTTATTTTCTCTTTTTCTTTTATCGACAGTTTCAACTTTTACATATTCTACAAAAGTAAATATTTAGCTATTTTTTAGTTGATATCTTTATTTTTTCTTTTGAATTCCATTTTTTTTAAAATTACTTGCATTTCTATTTCTACTTTTTAAGACATTTTTATGATGATTGTATGAATCTTAATTTACTATTTTTTTTAAATTACTTTTTATTTAAAAAATTTATAGAAGTACAAAATCCTTCGACCCCACTTATTAGAATAAATCTTTTGAACATTAATTATAAAAATACAGACTAACCCTTAATTGTCTTAATGGTTGCGTAGGGGGGAAAATGTAATAGCACTCAACTCCAAACAAAATACGCTCATCTCCTTCCTTTTCCCCCACTCCGGACGAAAGACAAAATACTAAATTACGAGGTCGAGGTAGCGAGTGGCCTACATAACTCTTGGTCCACCAACCAAAATTTGTGTTTTCAGAGTGATGTGAAACTTTGCATAAAAAATATCTGAGCCAAGTTGATTGTTTCTGAATTCATCAGCCATGTCATGACGCCATCAGATTCAAGATAGGATGTACCACCAAATGAAGTTGTATCAAATACGAATAGACTTGAAAAAGGCATTGGAATAAGAAAAGAAAAAAAAATATATATATATATAATAAAAATAAAAATAAAAATAAATAAATAAATCTCGCCCTTATCGATGTAAGCTTCACAATTTAACTCCAGAGACGGTGATTGGTGACGGGAAATGATTGCAGAATGCGATCTATATTGATATAATCTCCACTCCAATGATGAAAAATCGAATTCCTCGATCAGGTTGAGTAAAATAAAGAGGAAGCCTATTCTAAAGATGAATATAATCATATACCAAATAATTAATGTAGTTAATCCTAAATTAAGTTAGTTTGTAGAATAAGGAAAGAGTTAAGGTACATATCTTGGAGGGCAAATTAGAGTTCTCGAGTATGACAGGATCCCTGCAAAACCTGGAGATAACCTCGCTGTTATGTTTGGAGATGAATGGGGACTGGACAGCAACATGACTCAGAAAATATACGGGGTTTCTAGAAAGAAAACGGAGGTTGTTTCTAGTCATCAGGCGTGAAACAAGTGGGATCGGATAAAAGAGTACTTTAGATCAACGGATCCTACATCCATTCTTGTCAACCGTACCGAATGTTTAAGATAGGGCTTGTTTAATTGATATTCTTGATGCATGGAGAAAGCAAGAGGAAACACTACCTGCATGCAACTTTTGCGTACTCAAATGACATTGACTACCTATTCCAAGTTTCAGAACTACATAGAACAGGTTTATCACTCAGTATGCAACATGAGTGCAACATTAAATTTGTAGGCAACCGGTAAGGCATCTCTTTACCAAACTAGAAAAGCTGATTCCAAAACATTAGTGCAAAAGGAGGTAGTTATTCACATTATCCTAAATAATTACCTTAGAACAGTCAAAATTTCCTAGTTCAACAACTAAATTGTTGATAACTATTAGGTTACCACATATCATGTGCTCAATAATATATTGAGAGTGTTCGGTGGTGCTGAAGAGATGTGCACTGAACACCAGAAGCCCAGAGCCAAAGATCCAACTCCACACTGAGCACCTAGATTTAAGTGAGAAAGGCTTTTCAGTTTCAGATAAGATGAACAACTTGAGCACAAATTCACAAAGCACTTGAGTATTGCCACACTGTAAGTTTTCCTTTCTATGTATTTGTAATGTTTCCAGAGCATAGATAGTTTAACAAAATGATTCAATTGTTAAAAAAAAAATTATGACAAAGGGAATCACCAGTGAATTATTACTTTTTTGACATTTGAATAACCTTATAAGAAAATGGTACTCTACATGCATTTGGAAAAGGACCATAAGTGAGAGATACTCTACACATAAAAGAACTAACCTGTCTTCCAGACTTTACACTTATTAGCTCCCTCATTTTCTCCACTGCATGAACAGAGCAAGCCCGCAGTTCAACTTCCTCTTCAGTCCCTGGACCTATTTCTCCACTGGCCTCAATAGTACTGGCAAGTGTTGGACTATATTTTAAAACACCAAGCTGCCGAAGTACAGCAGGGACAATGTAGTCCGCCATTATAGTTAAAGAGCCGATGTCTTTAAACTCACCATAACCCTGGCCCCTAAATGCACCCCACAGATCTGCGGCAAATATCTGAGCCCTTTTATACAAAAATACCTGGCGTCCTTTGTACACTGTATGGTCTCTAAAACCTAGAACCAATTAATATTGGAGTCAACGAACGAAATTTTTTGCATACAATCCATAGCAACATCAAACAAAACTTTATATAAATTGATCATTATTTAATAAAAGCTAAAAAGGAGAAAAAAGCTATACCAGGAAAATGACGTGCAACAAGAGCAACAAGATTCATTGCTGATTTTCCACAGCACTCCACAAGTTTGGATGCTTTACCCTCAAAACTTCTCTCCAATTCAATCCCAACCTAGCAATAGAAGTGAACAGTATCACACATATGGCCATCAAACTTCAAGACAGGCTCATCATCATAGCTAAGTTCAGAGTTGAAAAACCAGCAAAAATATGAAGAAAAAAATATAGATATAGCTGTGATTAAAGGTAGCATCACAGATGATTTGTTTACCTCATGAAGTAACCTAACTCGCTCTTCTTCCAAAGGAAGGGGTCTAGGCCACCTCAAAAGCTCACGTAGTTGTGGACCTGACATTATGAACTGATTTTGTCATTATGTTATTTGTAGAAAAGTATTTCTTCATCAGAAGCATTGAAGCAAACACGTCAACCATATGGCCAAGCTGACATGTAGATATCTTTTGAAAATACTGTTACTTAAACACAAAATCCTGATTTGGTTTCATCATGTGTGGAACTATAATTTGATTGCTGATAATGTTGAACCACTTTAAGTAAGCACACATGTGCCATGCAAAAATTATTGCCTCTGACCAGGCAGCACAAAATAAATAGACTAAATGATGTTCAGTTCACTGTTTGGACCCGACTACCTTGAAGTGACACAAACTACTATGTACCATTACTGTCCTACCATACAATATAGGCCCATATCAACTTAGCATTAAATAATTTTGATAAACCTTAGTTTCAATTCATTATAAAAAAACATGAACTGAATTGAAGATAATGATATTGAAACACTTGTCATTTCCATACAAATGTATGCATGAGAATTGATGTAATTTAACAATCGTGTACTTTTGCAGTTCAAGGCACAAGCAGAATTACCGGTGTACTTTTGCAGACGATCAGCATCAAATGCAGATTTATCATTTTGAAGAGCTGCCTTTAGACCAGATGCCAAATCATCATAATTCAAATCCTTATCTGTTAGCAAATGAGAAGAGATGGTGACCATTGAAGAGAATAGAGAAGATGAGAAAGTTAACCAAGGATAAAATATAGATACGTAAAATTCCTAGGGAGACAGTTCACTAATCACTGTTTCGTGTCTCTGTCAGTGTCAATTGGAATTTCAACTAGACAACTGACCAGCTTATCATAATAATGCGTGGAGATAAACACCCTCCACAACCCAACACCCCCCCACCCCTGAATAAAAACCACGATTGTGTATGATAAAATGATATATAATTGTTTCTCATCAGCATATCAAGGAAAATAAGAAAATAAGGAATTCAATAATCTATCCATCTTCTGTATATTAGAATCTAGCTGACAGAGGCACTTTATCTAGTTGCGTTTTCTTTTCTTGTAATTTACAGCAAAAAACAAATATTAAGTTGAGCACGGGTTATTATTAAATAATATCCTAAACAGGTGAAAAAATAGTAATATAATTACAATGATGACCGATAATTATGATTTGTGAAA